ATATGGTCTAACCTGCACACTGTGGTATGCTTGCTCTAACACCACATGATATGGTCTAACCTGCACACTGTGGCATGCTCGCTCTAACACCACATGATATGGTCTAACCTGCTCACCATGGCACGCTCTAACTCTGAGTGATATAGACTAACCCATTCACCGTGAGACACTGGCTCCAACACCATGTGATAATGACTAATTTACATTATTTTCATCAGGCCAGAGAAGTACGAGATTAAATTATTCTAAGCAAAATCATGGTCTTGGTATATATAAATCTGCTGGCTTTTTTAATCCCTGGAGTCCATAGTTTATATAAAACCATACTGAAAAAACCTTGCATATATTTATTTAAAATAAAACGTACATAAAATTCTATTACACAACTGAACAGCTTAAAAAAAAAGTCTTTAACCAAACATTGGTCCTTTAAGGTCATTTCCTAATACCCTATTATTAATCAAATCATTAACATCATTTAGAAGAGTTACAAGCATATTGACAACAACGTTTCAAGCTCGGAAGCTCGAAAGGAGGGGAAGAAGCCCATTACTTTGTGGGAAGACAACTGTGAATCTCTTTTAAACAACAGAGTGAAAATAGTGCATGGCTCCCATCCTGGTACACAACTGTACGCTTCACCAGCTGTACACAGTTTAGAACCTCAAACGTAATACTGAAGCAAGTAAATAGGAAGATGAAACTTCTCAGCTTCGTTGCCCTATGCCTCTAGGCCCCCCATTTCTCTTCAGCAAGCAGTGTTCCGGTGTGATGTTTGTGTCACCACAAGGTTCGTGAGCCATTGCTCAGTGCCCGAGGTGAGGACACCCGGAGGTAGGCCCGTCGGGAGGTGACTGACCCTTTGACCTGTCTGCTGTGTGAAGACACAGCAACAGAAGTGCCTACCAGCAAGCCAGGCTGTAGTCTTATCTCACTCCGCTGGCCAGCACCTGCTCGGGGACTTACAGGATTTTAGAACCTTGAGAAATGAAAATCTGTTGTTTATAAAGTGCTCAGTCCGTGACACATTTGCTACAGCAACCCTAGCAAGCTTGGACATTTGTCATTTTTAGAGCAGTTTGTCCTAACATCGTGCAGTGATGACTGACGTGGCCCTTTTCCCAAACCTTGAATGTGATTAATTCCATCTTCACAATAGATCCAGGATGCACCAGTTCTGCCAGCTTCGCTGCTGTCATCATTATCGGCTCAGTTCCTTACACTAATATTTAATCCTTTTTTAAAAAAAATAATTTTTATTTCGGATGGTTTTTACACAGTTGTCTAGGGTGCAAAGGGTCAGGGCTACAGGAAGGTGGGTGAGACCATGATTTCCACATTCTTTTTTTTTTTTTTAGCTTCCTGCATCTGGGGCCAGGAGGGGAGGATAAGGAGAGAGATGTCACACCCAGCCTCCCAAACGCCTCCGTTTCCCTGGATGGAGGCTAGCCACCCGACACCACCCAGGGTCCCGGATGTGGGGTGTGATTCAAGGGTCCCGCTCAACAGGTTTTGACAGTTCAACAGTTCTGAATTACTGCTGATCTCACCACTCCAAGCATGATGAAATCTTTCCAGAATCCACTGGCTGACACAGTCCACCTTAGAGTCTCCGTTTGCCGAGATATTCACTGCCAACATTGGGGTAGTTGATTGATTTGTTCTGTCCTCCATCCTCTGTTGTGGTACCAGGTGTCCTCTGCAAGCTCCAGTGTACTGCCGTATCTTCCATGTGCATCTGGATATGCTTCCACTGCTCCATCTGAGCCACTGAGGAGGCCCAGCTCTGACACATGCACTCCACAGTGGACCATGGGACCTGTGTTTCTCTCCACCGTTGGTTCTGAGTCCAGCAGCTCAGCTGGGTGGATTCCCCCACAGACTTCATCTGAGGTCATCCCAGACCTGATTCTTGTTCATTACACTAACGTTTAATTCTAGGTGTTTATTCTTTCACTTGTTATTCATCGTCTCGTGTCCTCATGTAACAAGGACTCCGGTCACTGCCCTGGGTCCTGTGCTCCACAAAAGAGCCTCCCGTCAGCCTTGAACAAGCAGGGTCTCACCCCCTCCTGACCCCTACTCTGGTGCTGGACTGAACACTGGGTAAACAGGTGTTTTTCACAACGGGATTCCAGGTCTCTGCTTCTAAACCTCACTAATGTGCCATTAAGAATATTCTGATGATAGGTCACCATTCAACAAGCGATTTCTGGCAAATCACTTCACAGTTCAGCGACTCTGCCATATAAGCACTCCATTTTTCCTCTCTACTTCACTGACCAAGATGTTTTGGTCTTTACTTGCCTGAAAATGACAGCATTGATCTGACCTTCATGTATTCTGCCTTCATGTTTTGGTCAGGTGTATGTTAACCAGGGCTGTAATGATAAAAGCTGTCCTCTGAATACACATAGATGTATGGCTGAAAGATATGCAACAAGCCTAAATGTAACAATACACGGTAACAACAAGGTGTTCCTGTCTAAACGCATAGTAAATGAGAGTATTTGTGGGCCAAGGCTTCCCAACAGCACACTGCTGGCTGGTACAGCTCTTCCAGCAGACACCAGGCAGCCAACTCTCCAGTTCCCACAAAGTCTGCAGCCACTGCCACTCCCCTACGGGACAGCAGCTTCTGGGAACCACGGCTGCAGGAGCCAGAAGAGCATCGCAATGCAACTTAACTATCAGAACAGGTGGGGGCTGCAGCACTGAATCCCAGCGGATACCTGAGAGATAGCCATCATGAAGGGACATTTTACAACGCACTGGAAATTACGTGATTTGCAGTTATTTAAAATAATGAATTATGATCCATTAGCGGAAAGCATGTTGCAAGTTACAGGAAAGGGAAGTACATTAATGGTCAGTCAGTGATGTTTTTCTAAACCTCAACGTGGCCATTCTGGAACAGAATTTCTCTCATATGGCAAGACTTTTTTTTTTTCCCCGAGCAATGTTACAAGTTCCAGAAAATCATCTTGACAAATATATGGACAAATCTGAATAAAAAGAAATCAGAGCTTTTAAGCAAATGTAAACATTTTCAAAATTCAACTTGTGACTCTTTTCATCACCATTCCTCAGATAATACCTAGACAATTCCAAGGACTGGTCACCTGCTCTCTCACTGTGTCCCACCTCCTCTCAGCCTGGCAAGAACGCAGGTGGTATTAGCTCTGACCCGTCTCAAAACCTGTGTGTGCTTTCCTATTGCCTAAGCCACATGTATTATCTCATATCCCTAAAATAGTCCCCAAGGCAAAGATCTCAGGTAAATGGCATTTTCACAAGGTCGCTCACATACCCTGGAGCTGGGCAGCAGCGCGCCTTGGGACCAGCGACAACCGTTTCTGAGCATTTGAAATTCTGGGATGCATCAACGCAAGTAGCACAGCTGTAACGCCCAAACCTCTTATTCATTCCCTTGGTACAACACTTTCAGACACAATCTAACACTTCGCTCCTACTCGGTGAAGAATTATGTCAAAATCATTTCCATTGTCAAAACCCGACATTTCCTCAAAACTTTTTCCCCCCCGAATTTTGTCTTGTTTTCTTTTCCAGAATTTTCTTACATAACCGAGGATAAAACATTACGCCGTGCTTAGGAGGAGGACTGTGGTACAAGATATTTCTCAGGAAGTTTCTGTAAACTTGACCTACCCAGGCCAGCCGTTTTCCAAAACTCGTTGCTCGCTTAAGTAATTTAATAACCTATCAGAAACCACCGTCCCAGAGATCGACACTTTAGGCAGCAGTAAAACTAATAAAAACGCTTCCACACCTACAGCTTAGAAGCCCCTACCCCGCTAAAACTTACACGTCCCGCCCCGGGCGCCGGAGTTGAGCCTACCCGAGCTGTTTTCGCAGCCTGGCGCAAACCCCGCGCCAATGAGGCGCGCCCGCACTCGGCGCCCGGGTCCCCATGGCTACCGCCACAGCCACGCGGCGCTCGGGCGTGGGGGACGGGAGGAGGCGGCCAGTCCACCTCGCCCAGGCCGCGCGGGGGCAGCGAGCGGAGGGAAAAGGCCTCGCTCCTCCCGGCGACAGCCAGGCCGCGTTGGAGACCTAACACCAGTGTCGCGAGGAGTGTTCCTCCCGCGTCACTCGCGCAAAATCAGACTGCTTCCATAGGCGCACCGCCAAAGACGTCGCCGCCTCCCCGGGGCCTGGCGTCCGGAGCCGGGCCCTGGCCTCCCGTGCCAGCCCACCGCCCCGCACGCCTCCCTGGGCCTGGCCTCCGGAGCCGGGCCTGGCCTCCCGTGCCAGCCCACCGCCCCGCACGCCTCCCTGGGCCTGGCCTCCGGAGCCGGGCCTGGCCTCCCGCGCTCGCCAGCCTCCCTGGGCACTGGCCTCCCGCCCTCCCGCGCAGACGCCGCCTCCCCGGGCCTGACCTCCAGAGCCGGGCCTGGCCTCCCGCCCCTGCCCGCCGCCCCGGACCTCGCCTCCGGAGCCGGGCCCCGACCTCCCGCCGTCCCGCACGCCTCCCTCCCTTCCTCCCTCCGCGCTTCCTCCCGCAAGCCCCGCCTCGGCCCGGCCGCGCGCCCGCGCAGCAGCAGCAGCCGGGAAAGCGCGGTGCCCCGCCCCGGCGCCGTCCGGCCCGTTCCCAACGGGGCGCAGGGCAGACGCCCTAGAAGGTGGACTACGGCGCTCCCCCACCACCCACCCACCCGCACGGCTGCCCCGCAGAGCTCGCCAGCCGCCCGCCCCTGTCCCACGGCCGTCCCCGCGCGCCCGCGCTCACGCAGCCGGGGGACGCGCGCTCGCCCCGCCCCGGGCCCGGGCGGAGAGCCGGCGGCGTGCACGGCGTGAGGGCCGCGCGACCGCCTCCCTCCCGCGTTCTCCCTAACACCCCGCACCCCCAGTTCCTACACTGTTGCTACTTTGTGTGTGTGTGTGTGGGGTGGAGCGGGGGTGGCCTTCCAGCATTCTCTCTCTGCCGCTCGCCCCCCGCGCGGCTTGGCGGGAAGGCCCGGCGCCCGGAGAGCCGGCAGTGCGCGCGGCCCGGAGCGCGCGGCCGTCGGGGGCTCGCGGCCTCGCTCTCCCCTCCCTCCCTCCCTCCCTTCCTCTCGGCTGTAACTTGGCTGGCGAGGAAGAGGAGGAGGAGGAGGAGGAGGAGGCGCCGGCGGAGTCGGAGGGCGGGCCCTGGGAGGAGGGAGCTCCGGAGTTGTGGAGACTCTAGTGACGGGGACAAGTCGCAGCCCGCGCCGCTCGTGGCTCGCTCTCTCGCGCTCTCCTCTCACGCACGCACACACACACACACACACACACACCTACTCCGCCCCAACCCGCGCCTCTCCGGCTCGCTCTCCGGCTCTCGGCGCGGCGGCGGGGGGCACCCCGGGGGTACCCTCGCCCTCCCGGTGGCTGGTGGCCGGCCGGCCGGCCGGGCGGGCTCGGGATGTGGCGCCTGGTACCCCCGAAGCTCGGTCGCCTGTCCCGCTCGCTCAAGCTGGCGGCGCTGGGCAGCCTGTTGGTGCTGATGGTGCTGCACTCGCCGTCGCTGCTCGCCTCCTGGCAGCGCAACGAGCTCACCGACCGGCGCTTCCTGCAGCTCAATAAGTGTCCGGCGTGTTTCGGCACGAGCTGGTGCCGCCGCTTCCTCAACGGGCAGGTGGTGTTCGAGGCTTGGGGCCGCCTGCGACTGCTGGACTTCCTCAACGTGAAGAACGTCTACTTCGCCCAGTACGGCGAACCCCGCGAGGGCGGCCGCCGCCGAGTGGTGCTCAAGCGCCTGGGTTCGCAGCGCGAACTGGCGCAGCTCGACCAGAGCATCTGCAAGCGGGCCACCGGGCGGCCCCGCTGCGACCTGCTCCAGGCCATGCCCCGCACCGAGTTCGCGCGCCTCAACGGCGACGTGCGCCTGCTCACGCCCGAGGCGGTGGAGGGCTGGTCGGACTTGGTGCACTGCCCCTCGCAGCGCCTGCTCGACCGCCTGGTGCGGCGCTACGCCGAGACCAAGGACTCGGGCAGCTTCCTGCTGCGCAACCTCAAGGACTCGGAGCGCATGCAGCTGCTGCTCACCCTGGCCTTCAACCCCGAGCCGCTGGTGCTACAGGTAGGCGCGGGGAGTTGGGGGGGGGGGGCGGGCCGGGCCCAGGGAGTGTCGGGGGAAGGGCAGGGGGGGCGTCCTCCCGGACGAGGGGCTCAGCTCCCCGCTGCCACTTGGCACCCCGGCCGGCGGGACCAGGCAGGCAGACAGGCAGGCAGGCAGGCGTGGGAGAGTGGAAGGGGGTGGCTAGGCGACTCCGCGGCCCGTGCCCGAGTTGCAGTTAGGTGACCCCGCAGATGGAGAATCAGCTGTTGGCACCGAGACCCGGGCAACCTCTCGGGTTTGACTGCGGAGCCTTCAGCGCCAGAGGAGGGAGTGCGTCTCGCGGGCGGGCTTCCAAAATGTCTCTCCAGCGACTTTCCTTCCGCCCTGCTCGCTGGCTCCGGGCTCCTAACCTCCCGGGGCTCCCGCGCACCCGGGGCGCCAGCTGGGAGCTCCCCTGCTCCCGGAGGGTCCCACCGCACGCCGGCTCTTCCCCACTGCGCCCCGGGACCGGCCTCGCTTGGGCCCCAGCCTTTGTCTTGGCGTATCTACCTGGCACTGGCGCGGGCAGTTAATGCGAGAGGGGGCGGGTAGGGGTGCAAAGTGGAGGAGCTGAGGTCAGAGTGTGGCGCGGGAGTCCTGGAGAAGGTTAAATAAAAGCCCCGGGAGCCTCGCTTTGGGCGCTAAACTGCAGCGGGAGAGGAGGTGGTCGGTTTGGGGTTGGGGGCGTGGAGACTCAAGGCTAAGAGGGTCGGTGGGGTTCTGATCCTGTGGCTTGCCCCCAAACATCTGAAATGTTAGGCCAGGGCGAGAAGCTGGCGGGAGGGTCCCCCGAAGGGCGGTATTTGCCCTCCTCTGGCTGATGATTGAAAATAAGTGAGGCGTCTAAAGGGAGTAGCGTGGAGAGCTTTCACTGGAGCCTGGCAGAGGGAAAGGAAGGCGGAAACCCTTGCCGTAGTTACTGGTGTTTCTGCACACTCCTGTCCTGTTCCAGTGCGGGGTCCCGGCTCCCTCTTGGAAACTGCAGGGAAAGTTCCCCTGCGCGCTCCTCTGCCATACGGTCTCCTCCGGAGGGGGAGGAAATGACTTCAGCTTCACCACAAGTGATTTGGGTCTACTTCATGCCTTTTCTTCTCTGCCAAGAATGACACTGATGGCTGCGGGCGGGTGGACGGGGTGGTGTTTTGTTTTGTTTTGTTTGTTCAAAGTGCCGGAATAGAAAAGGTCAATTGTTGTTTATATTGTTTTCTTTTCTCACACTCTGCACCCGTCACGCCAGCTAAAAGGAAGCACTTCATCAGTATTTTGCTCTGCGAATTTTAAGGTGTTGCTGCGCGAATGTAATGGGGGACTTTAAGGTGTAGACTGTATGTTGGGCACTAATGCAGGTCTTAAAAGTGGATTGGGGGGGTGAAAGTGGTGAAACTCACCTCAAAAGAATTTTGCTTGATTCATTTGCTCTGTAACTTGGCAGTCTTCCAATAGTGTGTGTGCTTGGGATACACACTAGTTGTTTTTTTTTCCCCCCCCCCAATTTAAGAAAATAGAATTTTTTTCTTCCTGGGTAAGGCAAAACTTGAGCAGCGCCGCTTGCTGAAATAGACTGTCGGATCGTCCGGGACCCCCGAGTTAGCGATGGGGCTGGCTTCCTGGTCCTGGACACCTTGATGGGCTGTTGGAAGAGTTTTACCAGCTAGTTGTGAAGACTGATGTGCTGGAAACAACTGATATTTTAACAGCCTTGCATATTCAGTTTTGTGTCCCTGCGAATATACTGGGAGTTTGAGAAGCTTCGACACTTAATTCTGCTAAAATAAATCTGCTCTGTTCTCGAAACCCTTACTAACTTAGTTTGTTCATTTTGACTTTTCTTTGTAGTTGCTGTGTGTGTCATGTTCTCCCCTGACGTTCTGTGCTCATCCTTAAGGAGAGATCGTTTTTTAACATCGGGTGATTGGTTATTGCTTCCCCTTCGGTAACACCCTTTCAGGGTTGGCGGATGGATAGGTTGTAGGGATATATGTGTGAGGAAGCCTACATCCACAGTGTAACATTTTGTGATGGCCTGTTTAATCCAGACAGTGCAGGCAGGGGCACTGAGACATACCCAAGTACGGTCCTTCCACTGTGTGTTATTTTTTTCTATTGAACAAGGAAGACGTTTTTAAAGCAGAGCTGCTGCTTGCTAGAGCCACCTGATGTTGGTGAACGCTCATGTGTTAAGTCTGAGCAGTGTGATTAAACGTTGGTGGATAGTGTAAAGCCACTGACAGAGAGAGGTCTCAGTTCTGCTATCAGGCACACGTGTGGCTCACTGAGCCATATCGTAATGGTCATGACTTTTGTAAAGCTAGGCAAGCTACATATTGAGTGTTTGTACAGGTTCCTGTTACACAAGCTTGTTTGGCCTTCATGATACCATTGAGAAATGGATTCTAATGGAAAGGCTCAGGTTTGGCTCGCTGTTTACACACACATATATATATTTGCTTCATATGTTTGAAAAATATGTGTAATGAAATGTGTGTGTGTTACAGCTTAAAATGGAACTCACTTTTTTTTCCAGAAGAGGGAGCTACTTATTGAATGTTTGGCCAGCTTGACGACATGCTAGATTTTTTTTTTTAATTTGCCCAAAAATTACCCAGGGAAGAGAAATATTTTGAACTTAGTTCATTAAGCTGTTCATAGAAAAAGTTACAAAAGAGTTAAACACGTTTCAAAAATTAGCACTCACAGTCTGCTTTGGTTAGATTCTTCAAGGCCTGAATGATACCTGCGTCTCTAACCTTCTCCTAATCTGACTTTAAGAAATAATAAACAATTGACATTTCAGTTGTGGCTCGAAAGGGGGCGGGGCGTTCCTGTAAGGGCTTGAACGAAGTGGCTGTGACAGACACACACTGCAACACTGCATGCAAGGCAGTATGGATTTGCAGGACAGATTTCCTGTTACGAAACGATACAGGAATATGACTGCATTGCTGGATAAATAGTCTTAGTTGCTGATAGCTTTAGCCCCAAGGAAAGTTGCTCTGCCACAGAATTACCTTCTAAAACTATCTTACAAAAATCAAGCAGTAGGACAATGACAGCAGTCGCTTCTACTCAGATACCTTTTCCTTTTTACGTTTCATTTCACCAAGATGTATATTTTGTATGCCGATTACACCATCCTCCCATCCAGAAAGTCACCGAGTGGGAGGGACTCTGCTGTTTTCCTGGTCAACTGCGTGTTGATGTTTGTACTTGCTTATTCTTGAATTCAGAGAGGGGAAGTGTGTACTGACTTGGCAACTAGTGCCTTGTGAAGCATGCTTGGAGTCCCCGTCACCTTAACAGTAGTGGTAATTTTGTCATTCATGTAATCATTAAGAGATGTTTTACACTTTTTTTTTTCCTTTTATTTGAAAAGCAGAGATGGGTCGTCCTCCCATGGTCAGGCTGAAGTAAGGAGCTGTGTGTGGATTTCTCAGCCATCACTGCTGTGCAGAGGCAGGAAGCAGACAGGAAGCCACGCTTGATGGGACTTCGGGCAGGCACTGGCAGTGTGGGAGACAGGAGGCCCTGGGAGTGGCTCAGCCGCTGCGCTGCGAGTCGGCCACTCAGGGATACATTTTTAAGCATAATTTCTGTAGCGATATATGTATTTTCAGAGCTCATGGCTGGGAAATAGTTTGTGAAGCGAACGATGCTGTGGCTCCTTTGTTCAGTTTGTCACTTTGAATGAATTGGCAAAACTGTTGTCAATGGGATCACCTTCCTCCTTGTTGAATTAGGAGCTTTCCTGCTTTAGCTCTCACATTCTGTTAAAGTTGCTTTCCCAGTTTGACTTGAACTGATGGTTTAGCCAAGATCTTCTAGAAGAAGGTTGCAGAATGTTGGTCCAGGGGCCCTGCCACCTTGGGATGGGATGCGGATGGGATGCGGATGGGATGGGATGGGATGGGATGGGATGCCAAGGCAGATAATCCCTCTCTTTGGATCCTGGCTTCCTCCCAAGTTTTTACCACATGAAATACCATTTAATGAAAAGAAAAACGAGGGAGTTTGTTTAAAAGAAAAAAAAAAAAACCATGGAGTTAAGGTTGTTAGACCATCCTGGTGGAGCAGTAGTTTCTAGAAGGGACCGTTCAGACTCTGTTTTGAAGCGTTTTCATTCATCGCCCGCTTTCTTCATTAGTTATTGCTTTAGTAACTGCATTCCTACATTTAGCCCTCAAAATACATTAAAGTGATTCTGCAGAGCACTTTTCACTTAACAGGTTTATAAGCTTTGGGGCTTTTTCTGTTTGATTACCTGAGATTTTATTGATAAACACTTGAATGTCTCTCATGTGGAAGAGTATTAAAATAATCCTGTGTTCCTCATGTGGAAAAGGAAAGAGGGAAATATAAATTTCCTGGATAGGCCTAGAACCAGTCACCCTGAAGAGAGCAGCACTGGTGGATCAGCTGCACAAAATCCTTGGCCATCTGATATCGTTTATGGGTTTATTCATGACTTTTGGCCGTTTACAATTATGTCCTTGGTATTTGTTTCTAGTTTGAGCTTTATTTTGTCCTCTCATTGCACGGGTTTCGCATATGCGCACATGCTGGAGGAGAAAGCTTGTTCTCTGAGGAGAGGGTCTGTTTTCTGGACCTGGCAGGGCGGAGTTGTTGGTTTCCCACCTGAAGTCTTTGGCCTTCTCCATCTGTTGCCAACGTCCTGGCTGCGTCTTCACTCTCAACTTGCTCCACTTTACTCATTACCTGTGTGTTCAATTTAAATGGTGCTACAGCATAAATCCTGTGTTTTTCCTACAGGTATCATGGATTTCGTATTTAGTAAGTAGCCTTACAATGAAGACCTATCATTCCTGGCCTAAGCTGAGTGTAGTCACAGACTGTGGAATTCTTTAGATTTCGTAATCGTGATCCAGGTTATGGATGATTGGTCAAAAATTATCTGTGAAGCATTTGAGAATGGAAAGACTCCCTTAGGCGAGGAGTAGCCTACAATGTAAGAGATAGAAATATAA